ACTTACAGCTCACTTTACATGTTGTTCATTGTTTTATCCATAAATAATTCAGTCCTTGAAATAAGCAATGTCTTTCTGATTAAGATTCTCTTATTTAATGTGCGAAAAACACTTTTTTTTTTTTTAAATCCAGATTATTATCCACTGAAGCAGACATAAATCTTGGGCATAAACAACCACAGTAATATTGCACACTTTGGTAAGGTTAAGCAAGTATTTTGATCTGAATATGTATTCAGCAGGAAATACACTGCAACTCACCTGTAGCTCGGCTTGCTTGCCCGTGTGGTTCCTGAGCAGCTCAGCGTCGCCGAGCATCCACAGTGTCTCCAGCGTCTCTGTGCCCCAGGGGAACTGATAGAGCACCTTCACTCCACGGAACGCGCTTTTGTTTAGCTCCTCATCCCGGACGTCACACACGCTGAAGTCAGTTGGCCCTAAAGCAAACTGTAGCAAAGGCTTAATGGCTTTAATCGCAGGATATGGAGTCAAATCAAGTTGCTTTATTGTCGTCATTTCAACCATATACAGCTACTTAGTACACAGTGAAACGAAACGATGCTCCTCCAGGACCAAGGTGCTACATAAAACAAACAGAGAACTACACGAGACTACATACATTTACCCTAAAGTGCACAGTGTAAACGTGTGCAAACAGCACAAGACAGGACAAAACTACCAAAAACAGGACAATGGGCACTTTAAGTTACAGTGCAGCACCGACTAGTACACTGTTCAAGCAGAAAGTCAATCAGATGACAGTAGTGCAAAAGAGTAACAATATAAGTTGCTGGAAATGTAAACATAAGGAGTAGCAGCCAGGTAGAGAGCATAAAGTATAAAGATTATATACAGAGAGATTACTTTGTGCCAAAAGTACTATTGTCAGGAAAGCATTTCCGAGCCCTGATAACAAAAACTGCACGCCATCGAAACAGCTTCTTTCCACTGGCAAGCATTCGCTGATCACCACAATGCCGACCTGCCAGGAACAAGCAATCTGCACGAAATGTTATTACGAATAAATGTCTTGCCGGTTCCTGCACTAGATACTTGCACATTATTATTATTATTATTATTATTATTGTTATTACTATTATTATCATCATCATTATTATTATTAATTTTTAACTATTTTACAAGTTAAATATTATTCTTATTTAAAACAGTATTAACAAATAGTACTATTTATTACTATTTACTATCGCACTTTATATCGGTACTGTCAGACTGCTTCTGCCACCATCCATATATCCATATATACACTATATTACCAAAAGTATTCGGTCACCCATCCAAATGATCAGAATCAGGTGTCCTAATCACTTGGCCTGGCCACAGGTGTATAAAATCAAGCACTTAGGCATGCAGACTGTTTTTACAAACATTTGTGAAAGAATGGGCCGCTCTCAGGAGCTCAGTGAATTCCAGCGTGGAACTGTCATAGGATGCCA